CCCACTCAGATGATCTTTCAGCCACTATTAATGTCCGTCCATCTCTTGAAATGAAAGGCTCTCAGTGTTTGCAGTGGGGTTTAGGAACATCTCTGACTGGAGTTTCCAGTCTACTCATGACCGATTTTTATTGTCAGGAAGTTCAACTGATTTTCAGTCTGAAATTTATCTATTTTTCCCTTTACTTCTAACAACTAAGCAAAAAATTTCCTCCCCCTCTTTCGGTCTTTCCATCTCTCAAATATTTGTGAACTGATATCACACCCTGCCCTTGGGTATCATTTTGCCAACCCTAAGCCTCTTTCAGCCTGCCTAAGTCAATCATTCTCCCACACTACTGTGTCTTCATGCCCAAAACCCTTTCCCATTTATTTCTGTCCTAACATCTACTCTTGAACAGACAAAGGTCTGCACAGTACAGAAGATGCCATGTTCCAAAAGGTGAATTACACAATAACTTGCAGTGGAAAATTTAAGTGTTGTTGGGTAGTTGGTTAGAAAACTAGTACTAACAGCTTCTCTGCCTACAATTTAAACAAATAAAAGGCTATCATCCATTTCCCCCAATTCTACATAAAAGTTTATGGCCACAGATACAGCAACTAAAAGGTCAAGTGCTTACTACATGCTGCTGAAAACAGTATTGTGACTATTCACAAAGTATTTAAATGACTATTAGTATAATAGGCTAAATGGACATCACTTTTTGCAGTAAGTTTTGGATATACTTTTGAAAAAACATTTCTTCAAGAACTCTGGCTAAAATTTCATACCAGATTAAAGTTACAGCCAAATGGAATCAGACTCCACATTTCTTAAAGGCCAGAAATCTGGCCCAATATTCTCTGTTCTTACCAAGAACTAAAGAACTGTTTGTTTGCAGCAGTCTCCAGATAGATCTAATGTTGGCCCTTTCCAGAAGATTTTGTAACACTCTATTGAGAAAAACTCTAAAATTTGGCCAGAGTTGGCTGTTGTTTCTGATAGCATGTAAACCCTTCAGGCCCCTCATGAGCCATTTTGTACAAATTCCTAATTCATGTCAGTGTTGTCTCTAAACAACTTCAACCCCACGGAGTAATTTACTAGGAGGTACTATCTGGCTAGTTATCTTTCCTTTCTAGTCAATAACATCAAGCAACTTCTTTGTGTTCAACAAGCAATCATGGCATGGACTTCTGGAACTATAATTTTTGGCCAAATGAAAACCTTCTGAAAGTCATACCAAATAATTCTATACCCATTCAATTAGTTACAGAAGCTATTAACTTTAAGTGATTTTTGAGGTAACTGCATCTTTAGATGCAGATAGTAACAAAAGTAAATTATTCTCCATCCTGAAGCCAGCCCATTATCTGGTCTCAAAGGATTATTTCAGAGTATACCAGTGAATTTCTTCAAGTGAAACAAATCTAGGCCTCATCCACTGAGTACCTGTGTACTTGACATTTTACAGCTATAATTGCTAATCCTTACAACCACAGGTTGGCACTATTATTGCCATCTCATACAGGGAGAAACAAGCTTCCAGTCCTTACTTATTATTAGCTCAAGGTCATAAAGCTAAGTACCACAGCTAGAAACAAAACCCACATCAGATGGACCCCAAAGTTTCCCCACCATTCCAGGCCTGCTCTTAATGTATTACTTTCTAAAATCACTAAAATTTCAGAAGATAAAGATGCTAGCTACAGGCTTTAATTTCCTGTTTCTTTTTCCTTAAAGTGACAATAATATTGAGGAAAATGGAAGGATATTTATATGTGACTGAACCTTTTAATAGGTATTTTACAATTTATAGAGGACTTTAATGGTCTTTGTCTAACCCTAATTTGTTTAAGAAATAGCTATTGACCTTAACTTGATGGGCCACTACATTAACACTGGACACACGGAGATGAATAATGGTTTCTATATTCAAGGTGTTTATGGTCTAATGAGACACATCTACCCCCAAATGAATGGTCCCCCTTTTGCAGAAGAAGAAATTAAAGGCTGGTGAGGCCTGAATGTCTTGTCCTGACTTAGCTTCAAGAGGCAGAGACAGGACCAGTTACCAGGTTCTGCCAGCTCTACCTCTGCCTACTTTTTCACATCTATCTCCACTACTGACACCCTACTGCACTCTGCCATCTTCTTGCATGTGGACATCCATTCTGCAACCCTCAGCCCCACATGTTCTCTACACAGCAGCTATGGGGATAGCTGGAGACAACTCACTCCCCTGCTTTCAGTTCACTGCTTTGGTGGCCATCAGTTCTATTCACAAATATTCCAACTCCATCCTTTCTTTCTGGCACATGGTAGGGTTTAGAAGTTAAATGGGGCACATGACTTTCTTTGAACAATGAAATGGGAGAAAAAGTGATATGTATCACTTCTGAGTGGAAGCTTTAAGAGCACTATTTCTCTTCTCTGCCAAGATGATGTTCTAGATAGTGGTTATTCTGTTTGCCTGGGCTCCAGACTGCGAATAAGATAGCAAGGTAGTCATGCAGCATGAAAAGTAAACACGTAAAGCTGTATCTTCAACCACTCCAACTGCACTAAAATGAAACACAAAAGTCTTACCATAAAGAACAAATTCCAATAAAATTATCTCCTAAGTACCTTCTGATCTTACCTTGGGCCTGTCCTTCTCGCTTGCRTATATGGCCGCTTACAATTTTAAGAATGAGCCAAACTCCTTTCCACCCTTTAATGCAAGATCCTTGGCATGGTTTGCTCCTTCCTAACCTTCAGAGCTCAGCTTAAAAATTACTTCCTCAAATTACTTCCCTTAATTACATCATCAAAGAAGACCTTCACTGTGATTCTCCATCTCCACACCCTGATCACCTGCTGGAGGGCATTTCAGTTTGACTCTCTCTCCCAAAGCATTGTGAGGGAAGAACTTACCAATATCTCCAGTGCCCAACACTCTACTTTCTAGAAAGTACCTTATCTATGATAGGCACTCAATAAAAACTTGGTAAATGAACAAATGAAAAGAACTAGACTCCAGAAACATTATAGATAGAACATTATAGATAGAACATTATAGATAGCCTATCACAGGAACAAATGGTGGTGGTAATGGTGAGGATGGAAGGGAACTCATGTTTACTGAAGGACTGTCAGGGACCAGCACTGTTTTCATACAGATCAGGCAACACAACTAGAAACAATTTTAACCCTGACCTCTAAACCATAACACTAGGGAAAAAATAAAACTGATAGTTTTTTTTTTCCAGTAAGTACCTGTTGTACACATAAATTTCATTTATATACAAATACATTTCTATTCCAAGAACCAGTTTTTGTTTTTAATAGGATCATCCTAAAGTCTATTTCAGGCATCTCCTGTTTTCAGGGACCAGTGAGGGCAGAATAATACAGCAAATCCAAATCAGTAGATTTATCATTTCACTGGAACTTCTTTCTTAAAGTCATTTTTTTTTTTTTTTTTTTTGTCAGAGGAAGAAGTCACTATCATTAGGAAGTCAACTTCTGAATTTATTCTATGGGACTTGGGATCAACTTGTATTGGCTTAATTTATCCGCTGGCCCTATCACCAAATACTATTCTGCTGGTCACAGAACATACAAAGCTGAATGCCAGCAAGGGCTCCAAACATCTAAAACAAATCAAACAATCTGGGTTTTTTATAGCTGAAGTAACAAAGAAAGTGGGCCTGCATAACTCCCAAACAGGTCTGTTATGCTCTGCATAGCCTCTTGGGATTATCAGAGCAGAAGGACCCTCAGGGACCATTTACTTAAATCCCTTCCTTGAATAGTTTAGGAAATAGTCTGGCAGCTGTTTACTTAAGAAAAGCAAGTTTCCTGGCCCTGGTCTGGTGCTCTTCCCATGACCCCACACTGACTCCCTAAGGAGAGCTGGTCTCGTCATGTCAAAGCACCCAGCAGGCACTATCCAGAAGCATTCAGCTGGTAAACTCCAACGTTTCTCTCTCTCTCTCTCTTTTTTTTTTAAAATATTTATTTTTTAGTTGTAGTTGAACACAATACCTTTGTTTTATTTATTTATTTTTATGTGGTGCTGAGAATTGAACCCAGGGCCTCGCAGGTGCTAGGCGAGTGCTCTATCACTGAGTCACAACCCCAGCCCAAGGTTTCTTTTATACTCCATCACTTAGAAAACCCTGAGCAGAAAGAACATACACAATGAAACAAAGGAGATC